GGGTCTTTATTATTGTGTGCGGGCCGAGTTTAGCTCTATTGAGGGGACCTTTTATTATTGTGTGCCGGGCCGAGTTTAGCTCTATTGAGGGGACCTTTAATAATCACGAGCTCACATTAATTATTGCGCTGACTGTTGCTTCTGCTTTTTGCTGGCTGTCGCAGCGGCATCCTCGAGACCTGATTGCAGATCTGGTAATGGCAGTTTTGTAAACGACAGTGAATGCCAATGATGAATAAGATGAGGATGGCAGCCACTGCACTGACCGTTCCCTGCTATAATCTGAGGTTGTGCAACCAGATCAAGGAAAACCGCATGTCGCGTCCCTGGCTCTGTGTCACAACTTCCTTCAATTGCAGAGGGCATCTTCACACATCGAGCGCCTTCGCCGCCTTCAGCGCCACTGCTCTCGCGGCTGCACGCGGCGAGTCGCTTGGTGGAGTCTTCGGTTCACCCCCGTGACTCTGTCCATTCCTTTGTTCAGCGGGTATGACTGTGGAAGCTCATCGGCTCATCCAGCAATCATCGCGTTTATCATTTGTTGCCTCTCCCAATTTCCGTCTGCGAGTTCTGTGCCATATGCCCTGTTGCAAAGGATCCATGCAGGCTCGATAAAGCTAGGTCTGGCAATGAATGTTCGAAATCGTTTGAAGACTGTAGCACTGTAGCAGTGCATGAGTGTGCTGTCCAGGATCGACTCGCAAACACTTGGCCATATCCCAATCAATAACACACACAGGGTCGCCTAGTACAGCAAGATTAACTTTACAACACTCTGCACTTGCAGCCGGACGCACGAATCCCGAATTGCTGACTAAATGGGCCAGCAGATGAAAAGCAGAAGTCCAGGATGCCGCGAATCCGAGCTTGTGTTCTCATTCCATGTCATGCAGCACTAAAAGGACTAGATATCACAGTAATCTGGTTTTCGGTGTACATGGTAGTTTTGTCTTTATTTTGCAATTTCCAACCGAAGGTTCTGGATCGTGCTGGGGTCCACGTCCGAAAGGCAAAGGCTTTAGTAACTGTGACCTAGTTTGGTCCAACTGTGCAAACGGAACGAGTAAAGCTGATCTTCTTGTGTCTCAGCTCCAACTAGCGAAACAGATACGATCTTATATACGTACGTATGAGGAACGGTCGGCATGACATATGACTAACCATAGTGCATGAGTCGTGCCTGACGTATTCACCAGTGCAGATGGACATCATTCGTGCTAGGTCATGTGACTTTATGACTAAATTGCTCTCTTGTGGGGTACCACAAATGGTCTCGGTCTTTCGGGCTGCCGTCAAGCAGTTGGGGCAGTGCCACGATTTTCGGACTGGAGATCAAAACTACGGCGCACCTGAAGTGGCTGGGAGTGCCTTTTCCGACACCTGCATGGCCTTGCAGCCCGACCAGGTTTGGACGAAAATCGGCTCTGACTTGAGATGGACGTGCGAAGAAGATGTCTTTTGCGATGCCCCAAAAAGGCTTTCGCCCGTGGGACTTGCGGAGAGGACATCTCGGGCGTTTCGGTGTCGTTGTGTGTGCAATCACTTGTGCGTCCAGCTGGCCTGATGGCACCCTAAAATGTGATATTATGTCATAGCCGTTTGCAAATACACTATGAGTTCGCAGGCCTTCACTTCGAGAAATCCGCCGGATCAAGTTGTTCTGCAGTGCGGAGACTATTTGGCTTTGAGTCCATGTACACGGCTTGTGGCTCAGGTCACCATCATCCGGTTCATCATTGCCTAGGCTCCTGAAACCATCGGCAATGAATAATACACTCCTTTTGAAGTTGCCCTATGATCCGCTCAAAGCCCTACCCTGTGACAGAGCAAAGAGAGCGGAGACCTGCGGCATCACAGGAAAGTGCGTGGTCCAACATTGAAGCTCATGGTGCAGGTCAGGGTGGGCACAGCGTCTAATTTGAAGTGCGTGGCCAACAAAGCAAAAAGGGAAGCGCAAAGGTGTGATCGCCCCGGCTTGCTTTCTAGCAGCACAACAGACTTTGCATCTTTCATACCTTTGCCACTGCTGTCAGATCTACCCTCAGAAACCCACAAGAGGGGTAGGGGAGGGTGGAGGAGATCCTGAAAAAAACTGCAGCCACTGGCTTTCTACTGAACAGTTGACCGACCTTCATCCAGAAGGCATATAGCTGAGTTCCTGGCCCCTTTCCCCCGGACCCACATGCAGTAGATCATGGGGGAGCATATGCAGGCATTTTGATGTATATACATGCAACTAAAAGCATATGCATGTGCGTATAAACATACGCACATGACATGCATGCACGCATTACATACTTACACACACACATGCATACAGCTGCATACATAAATACATGTGTACTTACATAAACACATGCATTACATTACGTTACATTCCATTATAAGCTATATTTCAATACATTACATGAACACTACTAGTACATACATGCGTACATACAGACATACTTGCATACATACAAACATACGTACACGCGTGGAACTGTTCGTAGGGAGTTGAGCTTGTCTAAGTACTGGCACGAGTGAGTGAGTGTGTGTGTGTGTGTGTTTATAGGTATATGTATATATTGATTGACTTTTTGGCACTCGCACTCGAGCATGTCGGGCGAGGATTCGGGTAACAACAAAGACTCATCTTGTGTGTGTGTGTGCGTATGTATAATATACAATTATATATATATATATATGTATATATATATATATACATATTTATGTGCGCCTGGTGCACAGAGCTCTTAATTTCATACACATGTTCGTTTTTAAACCCATGCCGTGGAATCGGACACCAAAATCACGGACAGAAGGCTCGGCACCAGCCAACACAGGTCAAAAATGCATGCAACAGTAGAGCCGCTCGCTCTTGCTCTTGTAGATCCGCCTTAAAGTGCTGAACAACCGAGTATGCCGTATGCCCCCGCCCCACCTGCAGACGAGGCTCAGGCGCTCCCACAAATCCCGGGAAAAGCGCGCTGCTTTTCCTGGGGCGTCTTCTCTGTCTTTCGATGCTTTGCGACTAAGTCTCTGTTTTGGCGTGCGCGTGCATACTTGCGTGTCTGTGTGTGCGTGTGCGTGGGCTTTCGCCTCCGGCCTCGAGCGTCTATGCGGGCACATAGCATGTTTTCAAGGCTTGCGAGCCAGGCACAGCCTCTTTCTAAGGCTTGCGAGGCACATAACAGAGCATTCCTTTCTAGAATGCGGGAGCGTGTATGTTCAAGCCGTTATGCACCTGCCCATTGCTGCTGTGTGTCATGTGGCAGTCCAGCACAGCGTGCCCTTCCAGCGATCGCAACGACCCCGACTTTGAAGCCCGCATCAACACTCAACCTATGCCTTTGCTGTTGAGAATGCTCCTATAAAGACAAAGCACTCCCGCCATCTCGCACCATGCAAGCAACACCTCTTTTGGCACCATCCACGCATTCATCCTCATTTTCGTTGTCGCGGTGGTAGTAGATACAGTAGTTTTTGACTGTACGTGATAAAGGAGCATAACGTTGAGTTTGATGATGATGATGATGGTGGTGATGACAATGCCAAAGCCCTGGGATGATGACGATCGTGATGATTCCAGGTCGGATGTCGTGGTGCTGCTGCTGGTGGTGTGGCCGGTGGAGTGCTTCTTCCTGCAGTGCAAGTCCAGTGGCCGGGGTCGCTAAATGCTCCGTCTAAGTCGACGGTCTGATCATCCCGGACCTGCAGTGCACTACTTTGCGTCATGCTGCAGAAGCACTGGCTTCGACTGCGTGCTCACCTCCATCTCCAGCATCCAGCTCTCCAGGAACAGAACTCACGGACCCCTTCTTGCAAACATCGTTGACAATCTCATACACTTGCGTCTGGAATTCCATAGCTGCTATAGCTCTGGCATGCTCTGGCCATGTAGTCGTGTACAACCCTTATAGTCGATCGAACTTGCTTTGCTGTAATGTAGTAACCTTGCACCTCCAACAAGAAGTAACCCACCCAATTGTCTCCGGGCCACGTACCAGAAGAGCCGCCTGGAAACGTCGAGACTAAGCCAGTCAGACAGCATTTGAGCGGGAATGTGCTTGGAAGTTGCGGCACACTACAGCTATGTGGTCGATAATGGTTGGGCTGGCTCGCAATAAGCCGCCTTCGCGGAACAGGTGTGTTCAGCCAAGGAGTTCTTGTCAAGAGACCTTTCGTTCTCACTCCGGATGGTCTAGGACCTGGATCCCATGTGCACCTACAGGGCATGCAGAGGCATGAAGGGACTGCTTGCCTGGGATCCGGTAGTCCACCTGATTTGGCATCGCCACTGGAGCTGGCGCCCTGCGACAGCAGGGCATCTGCGAAAGTACCCCTGGATGAAACCTCACACACTCGGCTTCGGCAAGTCGGACGCAGAAACCCGCTAGGATAGCGCTTGAAGAAAACTAAGATGGTAGCAGAATGGCGCTCGCTCCATGACAAGGTCTGCCTTGGACTGCCAATCAGTTTTTGCCATCTTCAGGATGTACTCCTCAAGCTGATCACCTGAGTCATGGAAGGTTGGCGCGGGAAAAGCCGAGGGCAGAAACCGTGGCCTGGAATCCTGGGCACACACCTACTAGACACTGGCCAGTAAGTCCCAAACATGGAAGGGTCGGGCGCCTTCCCAGTCGCACGGAGGTTGTATAGAAAGTGCAGCATGTCGCGAGGATTGGGCTTACATCTGACGATCAACGTATCAATGTGTGATCAGTGCGGAAACACAAACTGGACCCTGGACCCTGTAAGGTTGCAAATCTGACGAACGGCACAGGGCTCAAGGACAAAAGGGTGGCTCTGTGATCCGCAAATCTGAGGTAAGATACCGCTGTCTCGGAGCTAGAAGCCATGATGTTCCTGACCTTGCAACTTTTCGTTTTGCAGATGCCATGGCGCCAGACAGGAACCAAACGAAGCCCAACTGGAAGCCCAGCGGGGGAAACCAAAAGCGACCCGGAAAGAGAGTTCGAAGGGTATCTAACAAGGGTTCACAGCAAAATTCCAAGGTTTTAATGAAAGCCCGCCAAGATGCAAATCTTTGACAGCTGTGCTAAGTTCTTGGCCCGCTCCAACCTGCAACGCGGTGTTCTAGAAACCATCTGTTGTCCGGAGAAGTTGGACTTTGTCGGACCAGCATCCAGAAGACGGCCATCATTACCCAAAGCCGAAGGCTCCATTGCCAAGACCCCTGACACCCAACGTTTGCAAACACATAGCCTGCTAAGGACCTCCGAAGAAGCAGAAGCTATTGCGTGGATGCTAAGCCACATGCAAGACTTATCCCCGTTCGTGTTCACCCACCCAGATTCCACATGCTGCTGGCTAGCGGGCTCAGCACGTCGGTCTCAATCTCGTCCTGCTCAAGCTTGCAGGCGAAATTGTGCAACTTGTTGCACAGATTCCTGATTGGCGAGATCTGGGATGACCATTCTCAAACACGTGGTTGTCAGTGTATTCAATCGTGGGATAGCACGACGAGTTTCTCCAGTGCACCGAGAGGTGTCACTGGTCTTGGGGGTGGGCTGCAAGATGAGCTGCAGGCCAGCCCAAACTAAACTTAACACTACCTCCAGTGCAGCTCTAAGCGTCTGATAATCGATGAGGGCCAACTGCTGGGCCCCCGAAAGGCTGACGGCAAATTCCCCTGAAGCCATGGCGTCTCTCATCTCTTTCCTGAAACCGCAATTGCATCTTCAATGCGCGGTGCGTTTGCACGTCCGGCGGCTGAGAGATGTACCGCAAACAGTTCAACCCGACTCATTGCCAAGCGCTGCCGTTACGATTTGAGGTCACTCTGAAATTTCGTGTCAGTGTTTACTGCACCAGCGTCCCTCCCACTACATCTCTCCAACAAGTTTGCGACCTCAGGGTAAAATCATCGATGAAAAACAGAAGCTTTTCTGCTGTCCCAAGGTCACAAAAACCACGTCCTTCAGCCTGCGTGACAAAGGGCAGGCTATGTCGGGACTCCCTCTGATCTGCTCCGCAACGACATCCGGATCCTTGCCAAGAGTGGATGGGAGGCCAAGTTGATCTTGTCCTTCGAGCCTCTGAGCCCATACCCATAACTACTCGCTCTGTGTTTCCCTCTGGCCATCTCACAGCCGGCGCATCGGTGCTAGCCCTTACTACTGAGCCCTCTAGCCGGTCCTCACCATCTGCAGCAACAGTTCCACGCAGTGGCGCAAAAACCTGTGTTAGAAGGCTCCAGGATGCTCCAGGCACAAGATGCTTACACACGTGCGAACGTGTGCGGTATATGGGCCTTTCAGCGCTTTCAGGCTTCCTGGTTTCGGTCAAAAGCAGACTCAGGTTAATCACACCTCGTGAGACCACAGGCTCGACTCAAACCCGAACGGATGCGGGGCTGTCAGGAAGTCAACGAATTTTCACCAAGGCCAGAGTGACTGCCTGTTTCGCTGACGCCGAACGAGGTCTGAGAGTCTAGGCGGGGCGGGTTTCAATGCCACAATGGCCATGCTATCGCCCTGCTAAGCCTGCAGGTGGTTGATCCAGTTACAGATGCGATGAGCCTAAGGACGAGCCCAACAATTGCAGGACGCGCACAACAACGTGGGTCGGGATCTGCCACGAAGCCGGTGTCGCCCGCTGTGCCCGTCGCAGAGGCTGGCGGCGCCTTCCCCGACGTAGCCAGGCCTCAAGAACTCGGAGTTGTGGATTCAAGACTTGAGGAATCTGCTGTGGGGCTTTGGGTTTTGGTCGGAGGGCTGGCGAATCAACTCTCAAGATCATACAGTATTCTCGGCTTTCGGCGTATAGTAGGCCCTCTGCAGCTTCGTGTATAAGTTTGAAACTAGATTGAGGCCGTTTGAAAGACAAAGTAGAAAGCTTCAAAAATCGACATCTACCACTAGCCCATTCACTTGTGCCGACAGATTGCATACCGTATGCACCACAGACCTGTCAGCTGAGCTGCTAAGGTTGAGATGGCTGCTGGCCGCACAAAGCCATAGCCTGTAGTGTTTGAAAGCGAGCTCCGCAGAGTCCTGGCAGATTAGACCAAGGAACATCACAACATTAGGAACGTCCAACGAGCAGATTGCATCTTGTTGGCGTATTTCAGCTGGGCTCTTTGTGCGGCATGTGATGAATTCGTATGTTTCTTAACACTGGCACTGCAAGAAGCTCGACAAGCATTACAGCACTCGGCGTTCTGTAACGCATGCCATACCACACTAAGCAGCATAGCCTCTGCTGTGGTGGCACCTCACGGCCCCGCTGCCGCCAAATGGGACCTGTAGATTCTGAGAGTAGAAGTAGAGCTGGGGAGCCAAAGCTAGGACGGATTGGGCTAGCCGAATCCGGCTACCCCTTTGCAGGATTTTTCCTATCCTCCTACAATTGCTCTCAAAAGAGCATGGAACCACAGTCTATAGCACTGACTGCAAAAGCAGGAAACCACATGTTCAGTATATTGAGCTCTGTGGCGAAGCTCTTGCCGGACAGAGTAACTCGAAAATGATGGATGACATCGCATGTTCTGCAGGACGCCAAGATCAGAGATGCTGTCAACTGGCATGCCATACATGATCGGAAATTCACACACTCAATCCAGCCCCGGTGATATTCTCTGAGGCGGCCCCTGCCCGTTTCGGGTGATACAGGATTGGGTGTTGAGGTTTCGTGGGATTCATGGGTGAGTTTTCGTCAGAGGTTTTCGGGTGGGCAGGCCTGAACAAAGCTCCTGATTAAGAAGCCAATCTTAACCACAACTACCCTTCGTCCCAGGCATAAGAGGCCCGAGCTCGAAGAGCCTGGCGTGCGAGTGGTGATTCCCAGTTCGGAGGCCATGGCTCAGAGCAGGACACTGGGTCAAAAATGGCCTCGGTGTCCCCAGCTTGTCGGGAAGGTTCCAGAGTCTTGCTTCACGAGTCGTCTGGTAACACTCTGTGGCAGTGCCCCAAGGGTATAAAGAGGGCGTTTCCAGGCTTGAAAGCTTCCTCTGCTGTTGAATGGCTGAGTTTCTGAGCTGGCACAAGCATCGAAGATCACAATCAAGTGGCCAAGACTGTCTGGCGTGGGCTCCTTTGTATGCAGATTAACTCTATGAAACTCTAAGACTCTAAGATAGACTTTGGCAAAGAGGGCCCTCGCATCTTTTCGAAAAGCTTCTCTCCAGCCTCGTCCAGCTTCCCCTGGCTGGCTTTGGGGGAGGGTGTCACTAAAGCACTCCAAGCAGGTTGAGAGAAGGACTGCACCGAAACCGTCCTCTTGAAGACGGGAGAACCCCACTCAATAATGATCTCCCGACATCCCTTATTCAACTTTTCCTGGTCCATGTTGGCTCTTTCGCGAATCTGTGCTTTGCAATTCGGAAATTGGGGTCTGTTTTTTTACTTCAGTGTTTTGCAGCCCTTCCCTCACGACCCGAAATCTAGCCTTCATGTGTGATCTTTGGCTTGAACTGAAAGCTGAGTGCTGCCTACCCCGAATCTATCCCTTCATGTCACCTAGGTGAATGCCCTTACACCAGAACCTCCACAAAATCGTGGAGCCTGAAGCCTGCATCGCCCGCATCTCGCCTCACCCCAAGAACACGAAACGGCTGTTCATGGCTTCACCCCTCGCTTGTGGAGCCAAACCGGTGCACATGAGCACACAGTACCAGGCGAAGCCAGTCAGGCCTGCAGCTGCAGGGCAAAGGCCACGCCCGACAAAGCTCCCCTGCTTTGCGGCTGCAGCCGCAAGCCCGCGCGGAAAGCCTCCATGCAAGAGGCAGAAACAGATACAGGCAGATACGTAGCACGGAAGACTGACCCGACCTCCAAAGCTCTGGCATGAAGGCCGCACCTTCGGACTCAGCAGAATCGTCAAATCGCAGGCATGTCTGCCAAATCCTCTCTAGCTCTGCACCGAACATGTGACGTGTACAAGCATATACATAGATTCAAGCGTGTATATAGAAACACGCACACACACACAAACACACTCACATACACGTGACAAACTGTGTGTATGGCCCACCTGACAACTGACTCAACACACCAAAACACAACAGTTTGCCCACATGGAAACTTCTTGTACTTGACTTGACCAGGCACAACGTTTTTATGATCTATCTCTAAGTTGAAAACCCATACAGATAACCAGAATCTTCCACCTTGTTGAACCGTAAAAGGTTTAAGGCTTCAGGCGACTAGCCCTCCGTGAGACACCTGACCTGTACCCACAAGCAAACGACTTCATGTCCCTTGTAGAAGACGTGCATAGAAGAAGAGGAGGCCCTCAGACCCTTCCTCTGCCCCCTTCGGCCCCCTTCGGCTACCCGTTCTCCGTCGCGAGTCGCTCGGCTCCCGCTCGGCTCCCTGCTGGAGGAGAGCGTGGCCCAGGTTCACGTGGAGGGTCTCCTCTGCACTGAAGCGTGGGAAGCGTCTGGCATCGACTACTTTGTGGCGCTGTTCGGGGGGAACATCCGATGAGAAGCTCCTCCGGATCACTCGACAGGCTGATTGCCCGCTGGAGCAGCTCACACGCCTGCGAGTTCGTCTTCTCGTGAGCAGAGTGTGAGTGCTGTTCAGATGCCTTATGTAGGTCACTGTCACGGACCTTCAAAACGCACGCCCACAAGTGACTACTGCAAAAGTTTGCGTACACAGCCCCTGACTATAGAATCACCCAGACGCGTTTAGCGCTCTAGCGTAGTGGCTCCATCCGCTTTCTGGTGCAATTCTCGTTTTCAAAAACGACTAGGGAAGGCATGCGTGGGCGTGTGCCACCCGGCAGCGAAGCAACCCGATGGCACAAAGCTGCGTCCATGAACATCATCGCGGAGCCGTGACGGGCCTCCTCGTAGCTGTGCTTATGGTATGCCACGACACCAAGCCTTGCAACTTCGATTCATGACTCCACATGGAAGGCCTCTGCACGGAGCCTCTCCGCAAGTTAACACAGTTTCCGGGATATGCAGACATACATACGAAGACCTCTCTCTCTCGCTCTCTGTCTTTCTCTCTCTGTCTCTCTCTTTCTCTTTCTCCAACCCTCTGCGACGCCCGCACTCGGCAGGTCAGGGCACCACCACACATCACCGAAACCCTTTCTCGTTCTCTTTATATTTTGTTATTTTTCTCTTTTTCTCCGTCTCTTTGTCTCTTTTTATCTTTCTCTATCTCTCTGTCTCTGTCTCTGTCTCTGTCTCTGTCTCTCTCTCTCTCTCTGTCTCTCTCTCTCTCTCTCTCTCTCTCTCCCTCCCTCTCTGTAATATTCACATGTATATGTATATATGTATATAACTGTATGTACATATATATATATATATGTGTGTGTGCGTATTTTTTAAATTTACTTGTACATATATGTCTGCATGTATGTATTATGTATGAATGTCAGCGTATGCATATACACATCTATAATGTCTGTATGCATGTATATATGTCAATGTAAGCATATATACAAATATACATATACATACATATACATATAAATATATATATATATATATATATGTGTGTGTATTCTGTTGCTGATATTTCCATATGTACTGACAGTACATGCGTCAAGGGTGGCCGTTTCTCGCCACAGCCCGACTGTAAAGCCTTGTCGAGCACTACAGAGCCAACAACTTCTGTAGCAAAACCCCTGGAGTCTGCCAAATTGCTCGTTGTAGACGTGGGGGTCGGTGGGCATGAGGGACCGAGCAAATTCCTGGGCAAAACTGCATAGCAGAATAGCGGATCATAGATAACGCCATATACCAACACACAGCCAGTCGGAGCATGATGATGACTCTTGTTTACCGCAGCGCATGCCTCGTTGCAGCCACTATGGCCGATAACACCACAATGAATACCATGTTCGCACCGTGCATCATCGATACTTTCAAATTCGCAACCGGGCCGGCTGCATCAGCAGGATCATCATCATCATCATCATCACCCGCATCATCATGAACACACTCATTATCGCGAGCTTCATCACCATCCTCATCGCACTTATCCTGCCTGTCGCCCGAGCTAATGTGATGATCAGATGTTTGTCGTTTGTTGCTGGTGCTGTTGATGTTGCTGTTGTTGATGATGATGTGGTAGGGCTGGTAGGGTTGCTGTTGTTGTTCTTCTTGTTGCTGTAGTTGCTGTTGCTGTTGCTCTTCTTCTTCTTCCTCGTGTTATTTTTTGTTGTTGCTGCTGCTGTTGCTGGTGTCGTCGTCGTCGTCGTTGTGGTTGTTGTTCTTCTTCTTGTTGGTAGAGGGAGGTGGTGTTGGTATTGGTGTGGTGCTATTGCTGATGCTGCTGCTGGTGTTGCTGTTGTTCCTTTGTGTTGTTGCTGCTGCTGTTGTGGTGGTTGCTGTTGTTGTCGTTGTTGGCAGTGCTGTTACTGTTGTCGTCGTTGTTGTTGGCTGTGGTGGAGGTGTAGTTCCCGTTGCTGTTGTTGTTGTTGCTGCCGTTGTCGCTGCTGTTGTTGTTGTTGCTGTGGTGGTTGCGGTTTTAGTCTTGGGGCGATTATAATGTTGTTGTCGCTGTTACAGGTGTGGTTATTGTTCTGTTGTGGTTGTGGTGCTTGGTCTTGTTTTCGTTGTTGTTTACTGGTGCGGTGCTGCTGCTGCTATTGTTGCTGATGCTGTCATTATTGTCGTCGTCGAGCAGCTGCTGCTTCTGCTGCTGCTACTGCAACTACTACCCCTACTACTTCTACTACTACTACTACTACTACGACTACTACTACTACTACTACTACTACTACTACTACTACGACTACGACTACGACTACGACTACGACTACGACTACGATTACGACTACGACTACGACTACCACCACCACCACCACCACCACCACCACCACTACTACTACTACTACTACTGCTACTCCTACTCCTACGACTACTACTACTACTACTACTACTACTACTACAATTACAAGCGTCTCGGCTGACGGGGGCATGATGCCCCAGCAGATAGTGGTGTGAGCCATTGCGAAGCGGTGCGGATCGTGTGCCAGGAATAACCAAGAATTTCCGATCCACGCGCTGCTCAGCTCGGCAACAGCATCTGCATATGCGGTGGAATATTATCTACGTGGTTTTGAAGCTAGTATGTGTGACTGGCTGGGGATCGATTTGGACACAGGCGACTAGCGCCGAGCCAGTGATGAATGGATACCAAATCATAACAAGGTCACGCCGCCGGAAGAGCACACAGTGTATGCCCGGGAACTCTTCTCACGTCGTACAGCCAGGGCCCAGTTTCATCATCAGCTTGGGCTCAGCATGCTTCGGGCCTCCTGGCCGTCTGGAGGGCGCATTGCCAATCTGGATTTCTTTGAGGAGTGGGAGCGACATTGGGATTCGGATTCACACCCACTACGGGCTCTACCGGCCTCTAGGAGAACCCCGTTTGCCCCGGATGAAGCTGAACTCTACACCTGGTGCAGACTCCATTACCCAAGTTGGCTACAATTTCTGTGGTCGAAAGGCCCTCCTCCCCTACAATCTCCTCAGGCCCTGCAACAGTCGACTACCTATGCCTTTGACTTGGACGCCATGGACTAGGTTTCAAGGTCGGCCTTGTGGCCGATGCTGTCTGGGAAGGACCAGTCGGAACTGGACCCGAAGGCGGCCCATACGGAGATTCAGTAGGCGAGCGGCGTCTTGTCGGAAGCCACATCGCCACTCTGTTAGGAACTGGGGCTGGATGCTGCTCCGATGTGTGCTGTACCAGTGCCCTGTGCATGTCTGTTCACAAGTGCATCACACGGCTTGGCTGCTAATCCAGTTCTGCTATGCTCGTTCAGTTCCTGTGACAGCTCTGGTTGGATCGGACTCCCTTCGAAAGGCTCAAGATCCAGGTCTGAGGGGTGGAGCTTTTTCCGAGGGCATTACAAGCCCGCCCTACTCGACGGGCATGGCAGCGGAGGAGGAGACCCTGAACGACATCGACTCCCAGGAGATCACGGACAGCGGGGAGGAGCCGGAGGAGAGGTTCACTCTAGGAGGAACGCCCCTGCCGATGGGGCCTCCGCCTCCGGAGACGGTTCAATCATGGCGACCGATGAGCCATGCGATCTCGAGTGCGGTGGCCAATGAATTGGCCTTCAGAGGGATCCATATCAGACGCTCCTTGGCATTGATCACAGGGGACCTCTCTACCATGGATTCGATCCGTATCGATGTGCAGTGGCTAGGCAACCGTCTTGCGCGGTCGCACCCGAACACTTTGCACTTCGACCAGCTGGACGAGGAAGGGGAGGAAGAGGCAGCAGTGGCGGACGAAGCCACCGCGGACAATGGGGATGACGGCCCCGGCCAACCCTGGCACGACGGAGGCGGAGGCTACCCTCACCCGTACGATCGTGGAGGCCATGGAAAGGGATGGCAGACAGACCATGACAGCAGAGGAGGAGGCCAGCCTGATGCACGACCCTGCCCTTCGAGATGTGATCAACAGTTTGGATACGGAGGAGCGGGCGGCGATCACATGGCCAGGTGAAATGCCCACGCCGACCACAACGACTACAGCCATCTCCGGCTCATCGGGCTCCGGTACCACAAGGGCCTCTGCAGTGGCGCCGCACACCCCGCCGAACTTCACGGACCGAGATCGAGGTGGGGCAACAGCCAAGCCGAAGGTCCGAAGAAAGTGGGAGCCTCACTTGTCGGCAACAGTTGCTTGGTCTCTAGATTGGCTGGATCGGAAAATCCGACATGGTAACTCATGCTCTCTTGCCCGACCTCTCTCCCCCCACTCAGGCGGCAGCACAGTGAAAGCACGATGTAGTTTTGTTTTGAGGGCAGGGCCTAGCAGCGAAACTCCTGCGAATCGGGCTTACCATGCTTTTGCACAGTGCACCTGGCGACCGTGGATCAAAAAGTACGCTGCTGCCAAATCGCCTGCCAGTGAGATTGGGACCTTTGACACTACATGCTTGCTGTGCCGACGGGTGGCCAGGTACTCTACCTGCACGCCCTTGGGAACCTGCGTGCGAACCTTATCAGGAATGACCAGGGTGTTTTCAGTTTGGTACCTGCTCAGGCACAGTATGCACAGACTGCACAGGTTTGTCTTCAAGCTTCTTCAGCTTCTTCTACAACCTGCTCTCTGGCTGGTGGCGGGGCACTCGTTGTCTCTTGCAGTCCTCACCAACATGCTACTTCAGCCACAATCCGCACGGGGAACAGGTCTATGTTCCTCCTTTGTTCCATCGAGAAACAGCCGCATCGGTCCCAAGTCCGGTGGTGCTTACGGCAGGCCGATTGGAAGAGTACAGTTCGGTCTTCTCATATTCATGCACCAGGTTGTGCTGAATCGTTCTGTAAGCACAGACGTGAGGGTTGGCGGTCCTTCTGCTATGCCGCCTGGAGCCTCTTCGGAGGCAAAGCCCAGCAGATTACGAGAGGCCAGCATGCCTTTTGCAACCTTGGCTTCCGACACTTCAAGAATCAAGAAAAGGTCTTATCAGCGAGCATATGCACGATCAGTACGGCAGGGCGGAGCCTATTACAGAGGATGCTGGAAAACATCAGAATGGTTTCAGCGTGCCAGGGTACATCCGGTATATCTGCCCCAACCGATGCCTCGCCCTATCCGACAAACCGAAAGGATGCTCAGAACAATGACCTGGAACGCTGGTGGCTTGAGCAGCAATGTCTATCAGGAGCTGCTAACCTTTATCCGGGATGCAAAAATGGACATTTGTCTGGTTCAGGAGACCAAATGGGCCGAGGACAACTGTTGGAGCACGGTTGACTACCACTTCATACACTCGGCGGGGAAGAACAAACTTGACAAGGTGGGGGGCCTGCTCAGCATTGTGTCTGCCCACCTGGTGAAAAAGGACGACCTGCAATACTTAGGCGTTCACCCGGGGCGCTTGTTACACGTTCGTGTCCAAGCAGGCAAGGTCCCCCTGGACATCCTCAATGTGTATCAATTCGCTGCCAATGAAAAGCCAGAAACTACTGAACACAGGCATCGTTTCCTTCTCTGTCTTCAACGATGTGTTTCCGGCTTGCCGCGGCGTCATGCACTCATTATGTCGGGTGACTTCAACAGCTCCTGTTCTCCTGTACCAAAGGTTTGTGGACCGCACGTGTTACCGGTGGTGGACAACCACAAGGCTGACTACATGGAACTACTGCACTTGTGCGAGGCACAGGCCCTTGTGATCCTTAATACATGGACGGCTCCCACCAGCACCCATTCGTTGGCTACTTTTACGTTTGGCAAGCTGAAATCTCAGATCGACTTTGTGATGGTCAGGCAAAACATGGCAACCGCTGGGGCCAAGAAGGCGGGGGTGATTCACAACTTCCCAGTTGCCAGTTGGCGAGAAGGTGCCAATCATCATGCTGTGGAGGCCCTCATCCCCATGCCTAGGCCACATTGGATGTCCAAGCCTAAAGCTGCTATGGTGCCACCAATTGATATCAAACAAATGATTGCGGATCTCAGGTCCAAGGCTGGTACCCCGGCTCTCGAGGCTCTCCGAACAGAAGTTGCCTGCACACTGACCCCGGACCTCACTGACATGGACAAGGTGGTCATGAGGATGGCCGCCAAGCATTACCCCCAGCCCGAAAAACCACAGCAGCCGCCCACTCAGCCAGAGGAGCTGGCAAATAGTGCACGGCACATGTGGCAACTACACAAGCGTATGAAGGCTCAACCCTACACGGCCAGAGGAATTGTGGAGGCTTGGAAACTGTGGACTCAGTTCTCTCGAGCACACCGTATCCATAAACAACGAGCCAAAGTTCGCTCCAAGGTCCGTCGGGATGAATTGCTGGAGCAAGCCGAACAAGCAGCTGAGAAAGGCAATGCACATGAAATGTGGAGTGTGGTTAAACGGCTTGCTCCGAAGAGTCGTCCGAAAAAGGTCCAGCTCTACAGGCACGGGCAAATCATGACCCCTGGTGCGGAACTTGATTGGATTGTTGAGGAGTTCGGGAAACCTTACGGGGCGACCTCATCAACAGAACCAGGTTCTCTGCTTCGACAACATGAACCGGTACAGCTGCAGGAGGACTACGTGCTTGAAGAGCTCCGGAAGATCCCGGTGCGAAAGGCCGTCCCCCCGGGTGCTGTTCCTGCAGTGGTGTGGCGTGCGTGTGCGGAGCAACTAGTTGGACCCCTGGTGCGAAAGGTGAGTGATGATTGGCAAGCTCCACAGGTTCGAATCCACCAAGACTGGGCACAGGCAGACGTTGCACTCCTGCCAAAGGGCAAACCCAATGCTAACACCCCACTAGATCTGCGACCCATTGGGCTTCAGCACCCGGTAGGGAAAACCAGCATGAAAGTGGTGCTCTCCATGGCAAAGGCGGACATGATCGACATGGTGCGGAAGTGGCCCCAGACCGCTTATCTGCCAGGCCGGTCGACTACTACTGCTCTCAAAACCGTTTTTGCACACTGTGATGCTGTGAGGAAGAAATGTAGCCAAACCCGTCAAAGTCTGCACGACAAACATGAGGGCAAGACTGCCCCTTCGTTCTCAGGCGGGCTCCAGGTGAGCCTCGATTTGACAGCAGCTTTTGACTTAGTCGGATGGCAATACATCAAGGATGCGATGGAGCTTGCACATATCAATGCTTCCGTACAGGAACTTCTACTTCAGTGGCTCCGACAAGTCGTCTACGTCTTTCATCACGGTCGGGATTCTAAGTCCATCAGGCCCCAGTGGGGTCTCAGACAAGGGTGCATCGCATCCCCAATGCTATGGGGCATCTTTACGGCACTTCTGTGTCAGGCCTTCGACGTCCGACTCAAACAATGCTGGTCAACTGACCATGCTGGGCTCTATGCGGATGACTCACACCTGCGGTGGCAGTTCAGTACTTTCACTGGAATGGAACAGGCGGTCTCGGAACTTAGGTTGGTCCTGAAAATCTTCTCCCGCTTCGGTATGAAGGTGAATGAGAAAAAGACCCAGGCGCTTCTCATGGTGGCCGGTACTGATAAAGGGAAGGTCCATAAGCATTATGTACGCTCTGGCAATGAGGGCAAGCGGCTGCTGCTATCCCCGAAGGATCCGACCAAGTGGCTCCCGCTGGTCACTCAGGCCAACTACTTGGGACTCATCATCGCATACGATCGCTTCGAGGCCCTCTCTACACGACACAGGATCGCCAAAGCAAACCAGCGGCGATGGGTCTTGGCCCCAGTGCTCCACTCCCGAAAGCTGGCGGTGCGGTACAAGTTGCAAATCTACAGGTCATGCGTGCAGTCCTCGCTCCTGTACGGACTCCACTCCTTCGGCCTGACGCCCAAGCTTATGAATGAAGTCCAGGCGACAGCGATGAAACACTTACGGGCAGTGGTCTCTGACCCTCGCCATATAACCGGCCGTACCCATCAGGAAGTTCGTGATACATATCACCTGGAGGACGTGGGGACCCTCATCAAGCGAGCACACGATCGGGAAACGAACGGTGAGGAGCCTGATTGGATGCACCTTCCGGAGTGGGATGCACATGTCACAAGTTGCCTACAGGACGCGGCTGCTACTGCATCGGGTAAGGAGGAGGACTCTGAGCCTGAACACTGGGCATGCCCGGAATGTGACTCCTTCTTCGGCACGGCAGCTGCTCTTAAAATACATGCTTACAGGGCCCACGGTATACACAATAAGCCACTTCGCATCTTTGACAAAGCGCGCCATGCTGTGAAGGGCTTGCCTACCTATAGGTTCTGTGAAAAGCGATTTGCGCGCTGGCAGACTCTGGAGCATCACATCAACAACTTGGCATGCCCGCTCATGCATGCTGAAAACAAATTCAGCGTGGACGGTGACACCATTGAAGCAGTTCGATTATCGCAAGTGCATGCATCAGCGATGGATGAGCATGATGAACAAAACGCCGATTCTGCAGAGCCTGAGCGAGTGGAGAGGATTGAGGAAACCATTGAGCAGTCTCCTGTCAAGCCTCTTGCTCAACAGCTCTTGGTTCAACAGACGGCCAATCAGGGCCTACGATTCTTCATCCAACAGCCCAGCATCACACGACAACTCCATCAACATTGTGGTTTATGCGGGCAATGGGTGGCCTCTCACAAGGTGATGAAGCTACATTATCGCAACAATCACCCCGAGATCTTGCCAGCTAGACAGCAAGACATTGTACGCACCATTGAACTGAGTGCTACTCCCAGCATCCGCTGCCACTACTGTAACGCGTCGCCCAAGGACTGGCGAGCACACATGCACAAGTGTACCACCATTTGGCAGTGTGCAGTCTTATGTCTGATGCAGGCTTCGGTGTGTGATCCTGGAGATGTTCGGGTTGGCAGTACGGGATCAGGAGATGGACGAATTCTTTGGAGCAGTTCGCATGGGTCAGGATCCGGCCCAAACGGTCCACGGGGACAACGACTCGGGAATGAATCCAAAACGGCGGCGGGAGGCTCCGAACCACAGCGGTTGGGGCCAGGACTCACATTGGGGGAACCATCGGCACCACCAAGGGCACTCTCACCACCACAACCACGGCCACTACCAACAGCACGGCAGAGACCCATTGATTTATTCTTTGGCACGTGTCGTCCTCCAACAGGAGCAGGAGATCAATCTGCTCAAACAGGACACGTCGCTGGTGCTCTGGTTCAGTCCCGGGGGAGACTCCATCTTGAATCATCTGTACCGCACAGCAGTCGAGTTCAAGAAGAAACAGGCGGCCGAACCCACATGGGGCATGGCACACATGCCGTTGAAACAAGTGATGGCGCTGTCAATGTTTCGAGAGCTCAAGGATCGCCACGCCAAGGTCTTGGCCTCTCAGGAGCTCACAAAACGAGCGACGGACATGGGCTGGCGGGACACTCAGGGCTGGCATTTTCAACAATGGAACCCGAAGTTGAAGCACCTGGAGCTGGACAAACAGCGCTCGGCGATCCCCGACATCGAGATGGCGAACAAGCTCGAGCATCTGATGGAGCATGTCAAGAGGGACGTTGTGCATCGCTTTCATTGTACCAGGAGGATAACGGAAACCATGGACAGCAAGGCAACGTTCAAGCTCGACCTGTCAGGAACAAGCACGCCGAGGAGATCTGGGACCTCCTGATAGAGTTGCAGGGCTGTTGCAAATTTCAGCTCATCGGACTGGGGTACCGGAGGGAACGACTGGGCCGGGGACCACTTGCTCAGAAGATCCACGGGCAGCTCCGGTACTGAGGCGCATCTACATGAACCCGGCAAATGCTTGTTACATGAATGCCTCAGTCCAGGTGTTGGAGTGGATGCTCTATGTCATGGGCCAGAACGTGGATGCTACGGGGACAGGTGCTGCTTTCTTCACTTCGAATGCCATGAACACCCAATGTATAACGCTCATGCAGGTTCAGGAGTGGCGAGACCTCGTCATTGGCTGGGCAGAGGTTCATAGACAGCACGATGTGGGCGAATTTCTGGGCTATGTTCTTCCTGGAATGAACATGCTATCCTTTCAGGGGACTTGGCAAGCTCGTTGTCTTGCTCATGGGGGCGGTGTTCAATGCATCGACCAGGGGCCATGTACTCAGCCGTTCCTGCTACCTTTACCACGGGAACCACCAGGACTTCACACGGTTGTCAAGGTTCAGTCGATGATTAAGATTTGGCAGAATGGCAATGATCGTACACAAGGCCTTCGACATCCGCCACATGTGCTGACTTGGCAACTCATGCGCTTCAAGCGAAATCACGGACATGTTCAAAAGAACCGTCTGGAGGTGCAGCTCGACGATTCCCGTCTTCTGATGCCATGCTTTACTGATGACGGGTTAGCACGAGAGTATGTGAGCTACACACTTTTTGCGTACATAGTGCATCATGGGCTTACGCCCAGAAGTGGTCACCACACGGCTACTTTACTTGACCCCCCTAGGGGTGTCTGGCTTTGTGATGATGCTCGCATTCCTCAGTTGCATCAGTGCTTGCCACCGAATCATCGTCGAGACGCCTACATTCTTTTCTATTCTCGCGATACTGAGATTCCCGCTCGATGATCGATGATCGGTGATGATTCTTGATTGCCATGCTTTTACAAGGCCCTGCGGGGCGGTGGCAATGTGTCGGAGTCGCCTTAAAGTAAGGTTGAGCGCTAGAAGCGCCGGGAACGAGTCCCGCTCAAGCTCGTCGCATGGCGGACTCTCTCCGCTGCGGGGAAATCTGAAATCTACTACTACTACTACTACTACCACTACTACTCCTTCTACTGATACTACTACTACTGCTGCTGCTGCTACTACTACTACGACTACTACTACCACTACTACTACGCCTACTACTACTGCTGCCGCTGCTACTACTGCTACGACGACGACGACTACTACTATCACTACTCCTACTACTACTGCTGCTGCTGCTCCTACTACTACTACTACTACAACTACTACTACTACTACTACTACTACTACTACTACTACTACTTCGATGACAGCGACGACTCCGACGACGCCGACTGCTACTACTCCTATTGCACAGCAACTAATGCGACTTCTACTCCTGCTGGTTGTTCAATGAGAGGATTGCACTTGTTCAGGAAGCAATCGTCCCCAAGCCCGACCTCATGAATCGATGCGCAGCCAAGACTCCAAGCATTGCTGCGCTAGTGGTAGAGAGTTCGTGCGCACGTACTCCATGCCTGTGACAGCTGCAGTATCTCGATGCACTCTTGCTTATACAGTATGGCTTTCACATGTCACTCAGCTTTCGTTGAAAAGGCTAATGACACAAGCTCTCCTTAACTTCTTTTATGTTACACACTATGTGGGTCGGGGCCAGGGCGGCTATCACAACAACCACGCATCGGAGTGTGCCTATGAAGAGCCACGGCAGCTGTGACCCAGGAAACCTCGCGGGCAACAAGTCGAGACTGCTGGCTTTGGACGACTTGTGACTCGCACGGAATGGTTGATAGTTGGTCGACACATGGCAACTTGCACAAAAGCAAAGGGAGCACACTGCCGGCAAGCGTCAAGCGGCTAGCTGTGCGATACCTCGGCCGTGCACTTGCGTAGCGACTGTATCCAGCGGTGTAGTGCTTTTGTCCTCATACTCCAATCTCCTCTACCCCGGTATCCATCCAGGCACTGGCCAACTAGTAAGGCTCAGGATCATGGGCCATCCTGCTGGGTTGGGGAACAAGGCTGGGGCAGGCGAATCCTGATAATGCATTTCAGTTCAAAGGGCCACTGCATCACGAAGTATTATAAATCATAAAAAAACTGTAGGATGAACAATCTGAAAATCGCAAACCAGCACTCAACAGAGCAGTCACGTTCTAGATCCAACTGCATTTGATTGAATTAGATGATGCAACAGGTCCGTTAATGTCAGGCATTGATGCCCCCCAGATCTTTCCAATCAATTTGTCTCTGTCGATATTGAATACATTTGGCTCTTGCTCGATCTGCTCCGGAATTCCTGACTTTGTAGGAACGGATTACAAATGGCTTTTTGCGTGTGAAGACATGTTAAGACCAATCTCGCGACTTTTTGTCAATGCCGCATGCAGCTTCGGGCCGCGAAGAGCAGTGCCAGTGGAGTCCACTCCAGTTGTAGCCTGATTTAGCCTGGAGTACTGTAATACTGTTAGTAATACTTGTACACTGACAAGCGCTCGAGTGACGCTTCTCGGCAACCCATGCAGACAATTGCGGCCCATGCTGCGCAAGAACTTGCAGCACACGAAAATGGATGCTGCCAAGGCCAGTGGAGAACCCGCAGCCGCAATCACAATTGATTCTGGCACTATAAGTGATCAGGCAGATGCACATTCTGAATCATTCTCCTGGAAACATTACAGGATAGGACGAGAAGGGTTTGCCTGTTGTGCCAGAAATGTGTATTCCGACTCATCGCTGCAGGTTGCTGTGGTGCTCAGCCTATGAACCTATTCCTTCTACGTAGCTCGAGATCTCCACGTAGCAGCGCAGCATGAAAAGCTAACTGCTGAGGGATGTTGAGGGTACATGCCCCGGCTAAGACATACGTCCGTGCACAAGTGCCCTTCCCGGTCCCTGCTGTATTTATGGACATGCCTGTCGTAGTTCCCAACATGCGCATTCATCGAAGTGGCTCGAAGCGCATGGACCAGGCTTCCAAAACCCTTGTGACAGCATTGACTCCGTAGGAGTGTCGCAGTGAGTGTATCGGGTCCGACCATGCTGACACGTCTTGAGCTTGGATTTGCCCTGCACATCTGGCCAGGAAGTGATGCTGTGAGAACCCATCACGGGCAATTGAGAACTAGCAAAAGTAAACACACCTTGGAAGGTCCAGGTGTAGAATGTAGCTCAGAAATGTTCATATACATATGCCACCAAGCATAACAGCAGTCGCTCATAGCACTTGTAATCAGAAGGCGCGTTAGCGAGATCGACAATAACAAACAGTGAGAACAAGGGTGGCATTGACTGCCATTGCTATTGTCGAAGAACTACGGTAACCGAGATCAGCTTCAAGTTTTGGTCGCAAACATAATTCGGCGAGAAGAACTTATGCAGAATCCTTGCCACTTTCAAAGGCCAAATGCCCCAGGAAGTCGCAGCAATCGTATGAAGGCGTGGTGCCCTCTGCTGTACCACCACGCCACCCAAACAAAATCAATTCTACCAGCAGCCAGAATCTCTTCATGACACCTCAACAGCAGCCATTAGTTGCAGTTAGCTGACCGTAACAACACCGGTCTTGCATGGTCAGGTTCTCTGGGTTTTAGCCGGAGATCCGCTTGTAGCCCTCACCCTCTGCCGTGAGCGTGGGGTCGAACCATGCGGCCACGGAGAGGATGCCTGAGGTTGGGACTCAAAGGAGCCTCCCAGAGTCAGCAGTTTGGGGTCTTCGTGTATGGTTATGGGTGTCCCAGCTGGCACAAGACCCCAAGTCTGCAAAAAAATGGTCCACACGGCGAGCAACGCCTGACCTAGACTCAGATGCTGCCACCTGCGAAGGGATCAGCAAAAGCAAGCATATTCTGACCTCGAAACTACTACTCCTCAGGGCAATCGTCCGTGTGCTGGCAAACCAGAGAAGACAATCAGCATCCGACGCAGCCCACACCGCTAAACGAATCGCAAGGCAAGTGGCCAATGCCCACCACACCAATGAGATGGTTGAAGGGGGCAGGGAAGGGACCGCCAATAGTCAATGCCTGAGAATGGTACAGTTGGCGGCTTCATTCAGATCTTCCGAACCACGCATGTACATAAAGAAAGAAGCCACGTGGCTTTAGATCTTGGCTAAGGTTGCTAATGTTCTAATGTTGTCATGTACGCAGCTGCTGCCACAGGGAGGAGAAACACGGCCCTTAATCTGAATACTAACCCGCCCAAACCCAACCGCTACCGGAAGATACCGGAATCTCTACAGTAGCACCTATGCAAATCCCGTCGTCAGCTTCCTCGGCCCACGTATTTCGTGATCTTGGAAAAGCATCAACATAGTCACCGAATTGCCTTCTTGATGTTATTGCCATAGTCATCACTGCTGCTTGAAATTCTTGTGTTACAGCCGCAGGCTCTGGTGTTGTCAGGGAAACGTGCACAGGCGCTGACCGTGGAAGAGTGGAAACATTTGCCTGCTTGCCTAAGCTCGTGATGCCGTTGCTGCAAGTATGATTCTGATACGGTGCTACATCACCACGGTTAACAAACACCTGCTGTGTAATTCTCGATTGCCTTGTCGCTGCGATGTCTGTGTTGATACCTTGCTGTGACGGTAGCAAGCTGCAAACGGGTTATCCATGCCAAGAAGAGGATAGTGGTGCCGTTGCAGTACTGTTGCTGCTGTATAGGTGTTGTTCTCAACTTTTAAAAGTTTCTGGTGATGCGATTACTGGCAGAAGCAGCAGCGCTTGTAGTGGTTGTTCTTGCTTGTTGTGGCGCGCCACGGCAAACTGTTCGCACCACCACTGCCGACTTGCTCTGGGTGTCGTCCTTGCCCTTCTGATTGGAATTTGTTGATCGTTGGGGATCATGCCTGTTCTTCAAATGGCAGAGTGGGTGAGCTAACAGACCATGGCACGGCGCTACACAGCGGACTCTTCTTTTCGGCACACAACCTGAAGTCTCAAGTGCAACAGCTTTAGCCTGAAGTTGTACATGTGGTAAGGCCTCAGCTGTCTTACAGTGCAACATCAGTTCATCTTTACATACTGATGTCTTCAGTTGGACTTCGTGTCCATGATTCTTTGGCCCAGTCATCAGACTTAAACCAAAGAGCAGCACAACATGAGCATGCGTTATCAGCAAGATCACTTCAACACTCCTCCTTGCTTGCTGCGTCCCGCAAACAAGCATAACTGTTGTGCTATGCGAATGTGGTGCTCCACACCACACTGAAAGTATGTCAAATAGGCCTTTGAACTATACACGCCTAGGCATTCTTCCAACGTGCGATCCATGCTGAAACTCTGTACTTGTTGTTGATATCCTCCCATCGCAGCTTGCATCGGTAGCTCAAATCCTTGTGACGCCACAAGTACAGAACATAGCGAAGTTGCTTGTCAGTCACACCGGAAGACTCGAGAGAGGGAGATAACCTTTCGCAAAGATCTTCTTTGATTCCGGAAACCGGCTGTCCCTCCAGCCGTAGAGCACTTCGTAGATCTTCGCAGGTCATCAATTTAAGCGTATCTCTGCACACCCTTGTCCTCTCAGTTGCCGCCTGAG